AGGATACCTCTGGCGAATCAATGAAGTACAAGATGCTGGGGTTATGGGTATAGGAGATATCTTTCTCGGATCGCTCAAGTACAGTTCTGAAGAATCACTAACCAACTTCCTTTGCTCTCCTTCCAGCACTGATCCATATTTGTACATCTTTTTGGGTGGGTTGCTGGAGGTACCGTCCTACCTGCTGCTGTGGCCAGCTCTCATCTACATAGGACGGAAGAAGAGCCTTGTAGCACTCTATCTCTTCTGTGGCCTCTGTATCTTCAGTGTTATGGGCCTCATGCTGACTTATCCAGGAGGTAAGTCATGTTGTATTGGGGCCCTTAGACATAAAAAAAAAACTCGTGATAGTTGTATTAGCTTTTTAGATTTTGACATGGTTGTTGTACACGAATTTTGTTACATGACTTGTTGTTTCACAATTTGTTGTACTCAGGGTAATGTGAAAAATCGCAGTATCGTGAATTTAACAATACGAAATGAAAAAAAGTCATCTAGCATCGGCCTGACGTCGTGGGACAGGCATGCTGACCTCTATACACTTGCTTAAGTAATCTCAAACTTTATTTGTAAATGTTCTGATGTTTGTATACAGGGTGTTTTAAAATGATGGACTCAGTTTCAGAATATACTGCTTTGAAATTAGGTCCATAAATTTGAAACACTGTATAATCTAAATCACTTTTTTTCTAATCTGTTTCGTCAACAGAAGCTGAGGTGGCGAAAGTGTTCTTCTCCCAGATCGGCAAGATGGCGGTGACTGCGGCCTTCCAGCTGGCGTGGATGTACACAGCTGAACTTTTCCCCACTAAGTTCCGCTCCCTGGCCGTAGGTCAGGCCAGCTTCTGTGCTCGCATCGGCAGCACTTCTTCTCCTTACATCAATGATCTCTTGGTGAGTGGTAGTCTTTGTAGGTTGGAGCATGTGCAGCTCTGACTGTTGTCTTTGTTTCAGCTTTTCTACGTATGCTAGAAAAAACGCAATATAAGTTTTATCAGAACTGCAGCTACACTATGTATTTCGCTCTCTCATTATGTGTAGGCAATTATACAGTATTTTGTCATGAAAATTTTGTCATTACTTCGATACATACACTGTAGACTGTATTATTGACAGGGGCTTTGATGGTGACACACAATCACTATTTTCTATATCTCTAGCAAGATATATAATGCATAATGAATTTGAAGATGCATAATATATAATGAATTTGAAGATACATAGTGCATAATGAATTTGACAGAGAAATTTGTTAAAAAAACTTTCAAGATGACAGGAAAAAATTTCAAACTTCTGCTTGCATTCGATATACAGTTATCTTGTCTATCTTGGGTTTTCTGATAGTTCTTATTCCAGTATTATTTGCTCTGCAATTTAGGAGACCTGGTCTGAGACCGTGCCCTGAACCATAAACATATGACAAACTAGCGAATAGATCAAGTGTTCTATTCGCTAGTTTTGCCACTAGTGTCCTTATCAGTTTTAAGAACCGTATTTGATTAAGTCACCCGTGCCTTTATCAGATATAGTCCTTAAGACAGTTCTTAGGACTGTTCTGAACTGTACACAAAGTTCTTTTTCACAGCTCGTAACTGTCATTATATCATTTATAACTAGATGTAACAAGCAGCGCATTTTCTATAACGTAATAGTTATCTAACACAGTGGAAGATATGTAGAATACGATGTGTTGTCAGAGTCTGCGGACACTGAGCCACATGACAGTGTTGGGGAGAGTCCCTCTGACGCAGTCAGAGTTCTTTATTTGTATAACGTTTCACCCATCCTTGAGCTGGCTCGATTACATGATGTACTTGATTAAGGTTGGTGTAGAGTGAAACGTTGAGCAAGTAAAGGACTACTCTGCATTTATGTGTTTTTCCAACAGCTGTACGCTTATTGTCACTGTGTTCATTATTATTATAATCGTGGGGAAGAGCTAAACCCGTAGGGATTATACAGAGCCCTGGGGGGATGGAAGGTATTCAGGGTCAATTCAGGGAACTGGAACACAGATCCAGCAGAACTTTTCTTTCAGGGACCCTACACTGTGTGGGCGCCGTCAGCACTGTTTGGCTCGGTGTCGTTGGTCTCTGCCGCCCTGGCGGTCCTCCTGCCGGAGACCAGGCACTGCGATTTGCCGGAGTCCAACGATTTCTTCACTAAAACTAAGGAAGCAGGAGCAGAAGGGAGAGAGCAAGGTGTCGCTGACCAGGATGAAGGAGTTCTCAACCCATCCTTCGTATCAGAGGCAGGAGAGACGGGCAGCCAGATACATCCAAGGAAAAGTGATACACATTAACTATGTTAAGGGAAAAAACTATTCTTAAGCGACCAGAGGGAAACGAGGCTCCTTCAGCGTCATCACGAATATTTTTATACCATACCGAGGCGCTTAATGGCTGTTTTTAATAACTGGCAAAAAGAGAGGGAAGAAATTTGGAAGGCGTTATATAAAATTTCCTCCTACACCTGTCTTATTAGACGACCAGTTTTGTGCACATGTTGTCATGTGTACTGTGTCTTCCCTCGGCTGACCATTACATATACTATAAGTTTTGTTTTGCCGAAGATACAGAAGATGGCTGATGTAATCCCTATATTTAAATAAGGTTAAAAGGCAATCCCATCAACTTACCATCCAATAAGCATGATGTCTATAGTAGGCAAATTATTACAAACAATTATAACCGATATTATTAGATGCCACCTTGACGAGCATAATTTGAATGAGTCTTAGCCTGGATTCACGAGAGGTCGTTCCGGCTTAACAAATTTACTAACATTCTTTAATAAAGCATTTGATACAGTAGACAACGATAAAGAATATGACGTTGATTTGGATTTCAGTAAGGCCTTCGATAAAGTACCTCACAAAAGACTGTTAAAAAATTGGCAGCTCGTGGTAAAGGAGGTAAAGTTCTAACATGGATCGAAACATAGCTGACCAATAGGAAGCAGAGAGTTTCTATTAATGGGGTTAATTAAGTCATTAGTGGCGTTCCACAAGGATCAATTTTGAGTCCATTTTTGTTCATAATTTATATTAATGATCTTGATGAAGGAATAACGAGTGACATGAGTAAATTCGCTGATAATACAAAAACTAGGCCGAATAATAGATTCTGAGGAGGACAACAATGAACTTCAGGAGGATTTAGATACATTAATGTCATGGTCTGAAAAGTATCAGATGCAGTTCAATGTGGACTAGTGTAAAGTCTTAGTCTTTTGTTTATATCCTTCATCCACTTATATACTTCAGTGATATCTCTCAAGAGAACGAAGGTTCAAGATTCTCAATCTGTTTTCATATCGGAGATTCTTTATATAGTGAATTAACTTTGCATCCTTTTCTATATGTTCTTCAATGTATTTATGTCCATTATGTAATATGGCTACCAAAATTGAGCTGCATAATTTAAGAGAGACCTTAGTAAAATAACATTTAGATTCCTGTTACTTATACTTCTTGTTAAAAATCCAAGTAATCTAACGTTAACCTTATTACGCATATTTAGGCACTGTTGTCTTAGCTTCAAATTTCTGCTTACTATGACTCCCAAGTATTTTTCACATTCTGAATTTTCAAACTCTACATCAACTAGTTTATAACTATGAGAGTTATTTTCGTTTCCAAGGACTAGGACTTTACACTTATCCACAGTGAACTGCATCTGCCACTTTTCCTGTTGAAGTTCATTGTTGTCCTCCTCAAAATCTATTATTCGGCCTATTTTTTGTATCATCAGCGAATTTACTCATGTCACTCGTTATTCCTTCATCAAGATCATTACTGTAAATTATGAACAACACTGGACCCAAAACTGATCCTTGTGGAACGCCACTGATGACCTGTCCCAATACAGACTTGACTCCATTAATGCAAAGTCTATGCTTCCTATTGATCTGCCATACCTCGATCAACTTTACCTCCTATACCATGAACTGCCACTTTTCTTAACAGTCTTTTGTGAGGTGCTCAATCGAAGGCCTTACTGAAATCCAAATAATCTATATCATATATGTATCCTCGTCCACAGCCTCAAATGCTTTATTAAAGAATGTTAGTAAATTTGCCAGCCAGGAACTGCCTCTTCTGAGTCCATGATGAGACTCAGTAGTCAAATTAAGGTGACTTCTAATAATATCGGCTATAATTGATTGTAATAATTTGCCTACTCTAGGCATCAGGCTTATTGGACGATAATTTGACGGAATTGATTTATCCTCTGATTTAAATATTGAAATTACATTAGCCATCTTCCATATCTCCGACACAGAACCAGTTTGGATTGATGAGTTAAACAGGCTTATTAACAGCTAAGTTCCAACTTGCATTTTTTAAGTACCCTTGAATATAGTTCTTCGGCGTCAGGGAACTTTTGTTTTAGCTTATCTAAGTGTTTGATAATCATATCCCTCGTGACTGTAATATTACTTAATTTGTTTTCTTCAGTCTGAATAATTTTGTATGAAAACCGACAACAAATAACTTAAAAATAGAGGACATTTCTTTCTCATAATCAGTAAGCTTTCCAGACCTAGTTTTCAGTGGTCCTGTGTTTAACCTGATCTTTGTCCTATTCACATGAAAGAATCTTTTTAGATTTGTCTGATTCTCTGTTCTTGTGTTCTTAAACAAAGGTGAGAAGTGTTTGTATCATTCATCTCATCCCTTGTTCAATAGCAATAATAATAAAGAACGTTATCCATGAAAGCAAAGAAGGAAATATATGAGAGTAAAGTGGAAGGACGCGCGGGGTTTCTAAAATTGTTATCCAGAGAGCAGAGGAAGGGTTCTTAAAGTGGTCTGGACATTTTGAGAGGATGAAACAAAATAGAATAAATTTAAGACTGTATAAATCTGTAGTGGAAGGAAAGCGGGGTAGGCGTAGACCTAGGAAATGTTGGAGGGAGCGAGTAAATGAGGTTTTGTGTGCGAGAGGCTTGGACTTCCAGCAAGCATGCGTGAGCGTGGTAGATAGGAACGAGTGGAG